GGAAAATATTTGAATGTAAGTAATCATATCAATTTCGCTTCTAGGTTAATATCATATTTGAACTACATATAAGTTGTGATTGACTAACACAACTCATCCCGCGTTCTTAATTATGGAAGTTTTTGTGATTAAGAATATTTTGATATTTTGTTGATGTAATAATTCAAAATACAAACGGCAAAACGAGATCTTCTTCCTACCCATTAATGCAGATATTATTGAATTGAAACTCAATAAATAACCTTCATTGTTCCTGCTTCTTTCAATCCCATTCTCACTCTCAGACAGAGATTCAAAAGTTACAATATTTGTTAACTTTTCTGCCATGGCATCACGCGGTGTGAATCCTTGTCCCTCTGAAGCCTCTAGCATCTCATCAACTTCCAAAGATGAGAATATGGCCATGAAACTGAGTGAGATTGGTCTCAAGCCTGAACTAGATCAGGCTTCCAGTTCCAAACCCTTGGCGCTGCTAGATCTCTTGAAGCTTTCCAATGGCGATAAGGTTGCTGCTCCTGAACCAAAGGTTGAACTTGATCTGTTCAACCCATCAGGTAATAATGTTGTTGGTTCATCTAATTCTAGGGTTCATGATACTGAAGGCATTGAGGAAAACGAAAACTCAAAGACAGAGGCAAAGAGTTTCTCATGCAACTTTTGCAAGAGAAAATTCTCTACCTCACAAGCTTTGGGAGGGCATCAAAAAGCTCATAAAGGAGAGCGTGCCTTTGCGAAACGTCGTCAAACCCTTGGTGTTGGTGCTGGTAGTTTTGATCACTTTCCTTATTACCCTTATTCAACACTTTCTAATTTCTATGAAGGATCCTTTAATAATAATGCACTTGGGGTTCGAAGGGACTCCACGATTCACAAGAAGCCTTTCTATCCTTCTTGGTACTCCACTAGTTCCATGTATGGTCACGCTTGGTCAAATCAGGGTCAGAGAATTCTAAACTCTTCAGCACTTGGTGGCTTTGGAATTCTGAGAAGTGGTGCAACTCCAAGTTCAAGGCTAGAGGATGATAATGGTACCGCTAGAAGACTTCCTCTTTCAGCACTAAACGATTGTTTCAATTTTTGAAGACGTAAATTGTTTGTTTCAATTTTTAGAGGATTTTTAATTTATTATCAATGATGTTATGTCATGTGATTCAGGCTTCAAATTGCAGATTTGAATAAGAAATTATTGTTATTTATATTGTTTCATTTTTTTTCTTTATTCATTTGAGATGAACAATGATATAACTTTATATCTTCGTTGGTAAGAAATTCAATTGCGATTGTTTTCTAGGAACGGATTTTGAGAGGTTCCTGATTGATTACTGATGAAATCTCCAAAACAGAATTTTCGGATCTTGATTTGTTACTTAATTAATCATTGAAGTTGTAAATTCTTGTTTCAATTTAGAGGCTTTATCATCACTAAACGATTGTTATGCAATTCATGCTTCAAATTGCAGATTTGAATATGAAATTATTGGTATTAATTTTGATTTATTTTTTCTTTATTCATCTGAGATGAATAACATAAGTAGTGCGTTCATTATAGTAAAAGTCGATAGCTTTTTGTAACGAGTTTTGATAGGTTTGTGATTGACTATCACTAAGAAAATTTATATATCTTAAGGAATTGGAATGGAAATTGATTCACCAGAAATTCCACAATACAGCCTCTAGCTAATTAGCCGTAATTTTGTGCGAAATATAACTTCCGTATAAATTTTGAATAATTATAGATTGCAACAGATTGGTGACAGATTCATGAAAGAAATGAATAATGGATTTTATGTTACAATTAATTTTAAATGGAATACAGATTTATTTATTTTTTATATAACAATCTCATTAGCTGTCATAATATCCTTTTTCATAATTTATATACTAAATTGCAATAAAAATCAATAAATTTGAAAACATCAAACAGAATGGGTTTCGCCCCTAATTAAGTTGGTTTCTTTCACTCATCATTCATTGGTACAAAATTAGAAAATAGTCAACGTCTGCATTCATAACAAAAATATTTAAATTTCTTACTGTGGTAGAAATTTATGAAAGGTTTTTAAAATTTTAACCACATGAAAATAAATATAAAGTATTAAATAAGTAATCATACCCATACAAAAATAAAAATAAATATGACCGTTGGATCAACATAATCGATCTAACGGTGAAATTGATTGGTAATAACATTAATAGTAACACTAATTGGTTGTTACAATATCTTACCCTTTTTTTATTTTACTACTTTCATTGTTTTTTACATAAATTTCTTTCTCCTGATACCATAAAAGGTATAATATATCATGAATTTAGTAACACCAATCACATAAACTTTGATTTTTGGAGTCATATGATTTGTTCTTAAATGGTATTGATTTTCACATGAAATAATTTTCCACATAGTTATGTGGTAATGAGCTTATATGGTATAAAATCATTTTATTTTGTATTTGTTACGATCTGATAGATCGTGATTGTCTAATCAGAGATTAGTATGTTAATATAGGATCTGTTTGCCCTCCCTCAGGTACCTATAGGAGAGGTAACCTAAAGATAAGCGGATCACTGTGCACTCTAATATAACGACATAGTCAAGGCGTGGGGTGTGTGCACAGTGACAAGTTAAGAGAGAGTTTAGAATGTGTGTACCTTATTGGTTTAACCCTTATTTATATATGGGTTACCTGGCAGGAGTGGACTTTTCGGCCTCTTAGGAGTATTGGGGGTCCAATTGTTGATTCATTGCTGTCGTAGTAGGATTAGTATAATTAAGGAATATTTTCTTAATTCCATCTTAGCTGTTAGCCCTATTTGAGCCATCTAAAATATAGGCCTTTGTCAGGTCCATAACAGTTGCCCCTCAGCCCGGTAGTTTGGTTGTCCAGGCTGCCGGGGTGAATTGTCTTGCCTTTTGCTTCAGGTTTTCTGCTGAGCTGAGAGCATTTGAGTTTTTGTAAACTTTTTGCATATATGTTCCTACTGTGCACTATAATATAACGACATAGTCAAGGTGTGAGGTGTGCACTGTGACAAGCTAAGAGAGATAGTTTATAATGTGTGTACCTTATTGGTTTAACCCTTATTTATAGATGGTTTACCTGGTGTAACACCTCGTATATATCCGGTAATGTTATCATAATATCGTATTAAGCTGCGCTTAATTAAAATTGTGGAATTACTTTTTCTTTTCAATTATGATGTCATTAACATTACCAACTTGCTTAATAAACAATTAATAAAACATCGCCTGTATGTAATTGCAATAAAACAGCTGAAATACCTCATAACATAGATAAAATAAGTGTGTCTCTAGTCACGGAACTACAACAATGTAGACCGAACCATCTAACAGTTTATACAACTCCAATCTAAAAAGTACTAACAGAGTGTCATGGACAATCCCCATGCTCACTCAAATAAGGCAACATGCCCAACATCAGTCTCAACAACAACATATCATAAATAGCGGAAAACATAAACAGCATTCCAAACCAGTCATGCTAACATAAAGCAGTAAAACATAATCAGCTAAGCTCCGGCCTCCTGCCGCCTGAGGCATCAGTACCCATACTACCTGATCCTGAAATAAGCATTCCCCAAACATGGGGTAAGATCTCTAATCTAGAAATCTCAGTAAGTCAGTGAGTCCTCAAGGATCTTCCACCCCAAGCTCACTTACATGTGCAATATAAGTTCAAAAGCAGTTTATCATTTATCATTTCTAAAACAATGCAATGCAGCAGATAATCATGCCATGTGTGTCAATACTAATCTACTGGCTAGAGACAGTGCATGTATACGTCTATCACCTACACACCGTGCAAGTACCACTTGCATTCACCCCGGTACACCGTGTTGTATGGCGCTACATACTCAGGCTTCCCGTCAAGATGAAACAACACATGCATATTAAAAGCCATTACATGTAAAGTTCAATCAACATATCAAATATCCAAAAGCATGTACACAACATGCATAAACCATACCCCCATGGGACATGGTGGAACCACAACATGGCTAAACCGAGGACACGAAAGCTTACCTTGCAAGCTAACTCCAAAAGCCAAGAGTCCACAGCTCAAAGTCCAAACACAGCAGATTCACAATCTGTTATGGACCAATACTATATCAATAAAAATGCAACACAAGCATAAAACTTAAAGACAACGCCTTTCCTTACGTTTAACGTCTTAAGGCTCCATACCAAGCCATAAGTCCTTAATCACTTGATTCTGACTTAGTTTAATTAAAACAGAAGTTCAACTTCATCATTCTAGGGTCACAAACCCCCAATAGCCTACTGTCCTCACAGCACAGCTACTGTTCTTCGAAATCCCAGAATATCCGGATATTCCTCGGGACCATATCCGGATATCACATATTCGGATATCTCACTGTGCATATCCGGATATCCAGAATCCCATATCCGGATATCTATTATCCGGATACTCAAAACCCATATCCGGATATCACATATCCGGATATTTCACGACAGAATGCAGAAAATGCATTTCGTGAAGATATTCATCCAAGGTTCCATTTTTAACACTTACTTACGTTAAAGCATGCATCTTTATACTGATTAAGGTCCACACCCCAGTTGGTTACTTGATTAATCCTTTAAACATGCAAAGATCACACCTTTAATCCATTAAAACACAAGCTCAAGGTAGGTACAACTCACCAAAGCTCAAAACAGAGGATCAATGGCTCAAGGAGCTCACCACACTGCCTCTACAGGTTCTGGAAATAAGGTGTACGAAAATGCAACACAAAGGTTGGTCCTTTCTTCACAAAGAAGCTTCTTGAAGCTTCACAAGCCAAGTAGGAAGCTCTCACCCTCACACAAGACCACTCAGCCCACAAACTGACTTCAAATAGTCCTTCAACTCAGAACCACAACTCTCTACACACTCACAAAGGCCACTCACACAAGGCTCAAGTGTTTGGAGGTGAAGAAACCAAGCAAAATTGACACTTGATCTCCAAAATGGTGAAGAAAGCTCAATGGAACAGTAGAAACTGTCCAGCCACTCCAGCATTCACGTCGCAACAGAAAACCTAGGGTTTTGTGCCCTTAACAAGGGTATTTATAGCCACTTACCCAATTAACACACAGTATTAACTTTAATTGCTACGCTTAGCATTTTAATCCCAAACTTTGGATTATGAAATTACATAATTTTCTAAGATTTATCATATTTTTCTTATAATTTTCTGAGCACTTTTCTGGTACGCGCTTTTCCAAGCCAGTACCGATTTCTAGCACCAGTTCTCATTATCTGGACTTGAAACTCATTTTACAAGTCCTACATATTATTATAGTAATTATCATGCACTTACATTAATTTTCCGGGATACTTTTTCGGTACGCATTTATACCGACTAGCAGAACCGGTATCTGCATTTTTCTTCCGAAAAGCGACTTTCAGCATTATTACTCACTTACTATAATTATTAAAGCCTCATAATAATTATTAGGGTCAATTATGGAATCATTTCCTATTTTCTCGTAATTTATTAATTAAATTCCTTAATTAACGGTGCGGGTTCTTACAGCTTCCATGGTACATCTTCCTGGCATAAATTCAAATTGATTTACAGAAACCTTGGTATCTCTCCTCAAGCGATGCTCAATAACCCTCTCCCACAACTTCATAGTATGGCTCATTAGCTTAATGCCTCTATAGTTTGAACAATTCTGTATATCTCCCTTGTTTTGTAGATAGGCACAATCATACTTTTCCTCCATGCATCAGGCATCTTATTCGTCTGGAGAATCTTATTAAAAAGATTGGTCAACCATTTTATTGCCACATCCCTCAGGCCTCTCCACACTTCAATAGGGACACCATCAGGCCCCAAGGCTTTATTAGTCTTCATCCTCTTTAAAGCCTCCTTAACTTCATGTGTATTAATTCTGCGTACAAATCTTCTATTCATATCATCATACGCGTCCTCTAAGTCCACCTCGCTTGTATCTCTATCCCCCATTAAACAGCTTGTTGAAGTATCTCAACCATCTTTCATTTACATCTTCATCTCTCACCAGAAGTTTTTGATTTTCATCCTTAATGCATCTTTCATTATATATATTAAAAATTTTATTTAATATCAAAACGTGTCTTAACGTGTCGAAATATAACATTTTTTAGAATTAACGTGTCGTGTCCCGTGTCAATGTCCGTGCATCATAGGTTATCAGAAATGACGTATTTATCGAGGTGTTAATACAATCCAGTCATAGAGAGGCGTGAACAAAATCCAACCACTATGAGGTGTTAATATATGTATTCTTGTGTAAAAGCAACCTAGCCACAATTTTTTATGGGCAGCCACCATTCCTGAAGATTTGCTTATCCATTTCCTATTACTTTACTTCTCCTATATATAGAGTTGAAAGTCAGGAGGAAAACTCAAAGAGACTTAGAGAAAGAATAGCAGGATGAATCTTGATAACAAATTATTGGTGTGCTTTCTTTCTTTTTTTCCTCTTGATCACTCTGTTTTTTTTTTTGTCTATAATTTATTTAAACTAATTATTTGAAGCGGTGATATGTATCACAACAGTATTGGCCTCATGAGAAGTATCAATTGAGTTAGCCATGTGAATTGCTAATTGGTGCTTTAATAATAAATACTAATATCTAGTTGAACTCTGGGATGGCGAACGGAGACCAGGGTAGAAATTTGAATAAGTAATCCCCGACGAGAATGCGAGTTTGAATATCAAGGAAACAATTTTTGTAACGAGATTGCATCTCTCTCATTTTCCCATCAAAATGGACCTATAACCTGTGGAGATGCCTTGTGGTCTCATAAAACATTCTAACAAAACCCAAATACTCATCTAACAAATTGGGCGGTTGATTTAGTCATTAAATGGACATGGGCCTGCTACAAAATTGGGCAGGTTGATGGAATTTCAAAATGGACCAAAATGTGGACACAGCGATAGGATGGGATCCAGACTGGCATTTTATGATGACAATGAAAAAGAAAAGAAAAAAAAAACATATTGCTATAATGCTATTAGATTGTTGAGAAATTCTTTAATCCTCTAAATTTTAAAATGTGCATGATACTTATTCTGATTTTAATTTTATTTTTGAAGAGAAATAATTTTATTTTATTTCTACATTTATGAAGAGCTTTTGGGTATATATACAAATATTTTTGATACCGCATTAATTTTTATTTTTATTTTGGTAAACAATGAGGTCTACTGCCCAAACAAACATAATTTTTTTAATAGAAAAATAAATTATATTTTACTAAACATAATTTTTAACCATTTTTATTCTCCAAAGTAAAAATAATAAAAAATAATATTTTTATTATACACATTTATATAGGTCCTACCTATCAAACACCGACACTTCAAACACCCTGATGTGTCGTGTCCGACACTCTTCGACACTCCGACACTCCCCGACACTTCAATACACGTTATAGAAATTCAAAAAAAAGGTTCAAAAGTTGCATTGCGTCCAGTTTTTAGTTTCAACTATTAGATTCGTTGGATTATGATTACCATTTTATTGAGTTTAGTATAAATATATGGGATATCTTATGTTTCCTTGCAAAATTGATGAATATTATAAGTTGAGTTTCATTTTTTTGTTAAATTATTGAATATTAAATATAATATACACTACATAAATTAAAAATATTATTTAATATCAAAACGCGTCCTAACGTGTCGAAATCTAACATTTTTTAGAATAACGTATCGAAGTGTCGTGTCGTATCATATCGTATCACATATCTCATGTCGGTATCGGTGCTACATAGGGTCCTACCATAGGACTCGCGTAAAATTAATGATAAAAATCTTCCAGATGGAAAAAAATAAAAACTCTCCTAAGAAAATATAATAATATCTCCATCACAGAGGAGCAAACTTTCGATACCATAGGCTGTAGGTATCGATTTTTCTGATTTAGGAAACTGGGAGGACTGACTTGGGTATTCCGATGTATTAAAAAAAGGTTTTATAAGACTTATGTTATAGGAAAAGTGACTATGTAATATTATAGATATTCATTTTGCGTACCTTAGTTTTTCTTTTTTGCTTCAAAAAGTGTGGGCCCCACAAAATGTTGTGTGTGTAAGAAATTTTTTTATGTCATGTTAAATGATGAATGCAAACCCCATTAAAAAAATTCCCAATGGGTATAAAGTTGAAGTGATTGTTATTTCACGCGAGTCAATGATAATGTAAGGTAAGAGCTTGATCAATGTGAAATTGTGTATATTGCAGAGCTGGCTGGACAAGTACACTAAGGGCTGTTTGGTGTGACGTGTAAGGCATGATAATATAAGCTTATATTATACGTTATGACATTTTCAGTTGTTTGGTATGACTACAGTATAGTATAAGCTTATACAGCATAATCCCTTAATACATCAAAACGATGTATAACTTAGTCCGGCCTAAGGGTGAAGGATAAGACCTGATAAGAGATTGATGTATTAACATCGTTGACCAATGTAATTCTCAAAAATTAATATATTATTTTAATATTAATCTATTAAAATAAAAATTTATTTTTCAATATATTAATTTTTAAAATATTGAATATTTTTATTTTTATAAAAATTAATTTATATTTTGGACACACTGATCAATAAGTTTTTATAAAAATTAATATCATATGACATTTTTTGAAGAATTATATAAATTTTTTATTAAAGGATATTTTTATTAAAAATATTTATTTTTATCATATATAGTATTATACAGTGCATTACCAAATACTAGATGATATTATCTTATACAATATATTATTTTATACAATACCTTGCCAAACGCTTGATAGTATTAAAATTCAATCAGGTCTTATACAATTAGGTCTTATACAATCAGGCCTTATACTATCAGGTCTTATACTATCAGGCCTTATCCTATACTATGCACCAAACATGCCCTAAAGGCCTGTTTGGTGTGATATATAAGGCCTGATAGTATAATTAAGCTTATACTATGTGTTATGACATTTTCAGTTGTTTAGTGTGACCATCATATAGTATAAGCTTATACAGCAGGATCCTCTTATACATCAAAATGATGAATAACTTAATCAAGCCTAGGTGTGGTGGATTAGGCATGATAAGGGATTGATGTATTAATATTGCTTACAAGTACAATTCCCAAGAACTAATATATAATTTCAATATTTATATATTGGGTTTGTTTTTTCTACAGTCAATGTAGATAACTTATCTACGTTGAGCCTAAAATGACGTCGTTTTGAGACGAAAATCAAGGTATTTTTATAATTATAATTTATTTCAGGATTATAATAGTCTTTTTCATTATAATTTTTTGACCCAAAACGACGTCGTTTTGGGAGAGCGAATGTAGATAACCTTATATACATTCAATGTAGAAACATTAAATCCTTGGGAATACTATTTCGACAGTCACTGTACCTATTATTATCTACGGTGGCTGCCAAAACGTCACCGTTTCGCTTAAACAATTAAAAACATCTAATCTAATTGGGGTTTTCTGAAAACTACTATTCACCATCCCTAATTCTTTCGCAGTCCATAACTCAGCGAAGGCAGCGGCAATCCATAACAGCGGCGACCGTAAACAAACTCTCTAATTGGATAGTGGAGGTTAAGCCTGTCCCTCTAACCCATCCCACATTGATAGGGTATATTTTCCTCTTCTTTTGTTTCATACATGTATGTCTGATTTTGTGTTTATATTATTTGCAAGTGTCTCTTTGTTAAAGTTGCATGAAAGTCAAATTACTTTATAAAATATTAAGAGAAATTTGTGAATGATAATCATTAATCCTCATGGTGATATTTTGAGCGATTTCATTTTAGAGCACAACATGAAATCAGTGACTTTTTTGTTTTCTTCTATTTGAGCAGCATATGCAATCATTGACTAACAAAATAAACAAGTATTTTGTGGCTCCATTACCAACAGTGTAGTCTGGTTCTTTGTGAGTCCTGTATTTTAAAAACATGTCTACACTACAGCTTTCAATTCACTTAATATGACCATTTGTTACGACAGAAAGATGACATGTAATTCAGTATGGGATTTAGTTTACCATTATGCATTTTGCATTTATCTAGATATGGATTATTGATGAAAACTAGTCTATAAAAAAAATGTATACAGATGTCATTTTTTGTACATGGCTTACATATAATTGTCTTTGAGTGATAAATATGAGCCAAATGTCATCACAGCCGAATAAGTTTAGATGCAGACTTGGATTTTGTGGTCTCTCTTTTTATTTTAAATTATAATTTTGGCTTTTAGCTTTTCATTTTATATGTATAAGGTAGTGGAGCAATTCTTGTTTTGACTCTAATAATAGATGTAATAAAATTATTCATGTACCTTCACCCAACCGTTTAAGCTTTTGGGGAAATTGGTTATTTTACATAGTATTAGGGCCTAAGATTAAGTTGTCTGGAATTCTATCCTTGCTGCCTCATATTCTAATAAAAACAAGTTAAATCTCAATAAGGCAAACCAAAAAAATGGATCTATGCATTTTTTTTTTCTCCTTTTCTCTCTTCCCATCATGGTCCTCAATAAATTTCCATCCAAAAGTGACCACTGACGACCACTAAAGGTACTTTGATCTTGGAATATTGATTTTAAATTGGCTGAATTCTAAGAACTAGAGCCTTCAAAATTATTCTTCAAAATTATATTGTAAGTAATTACCATGCACTAGCTAACAGACCTATTTTGAGAGAGATTTATTGGAGAATATACCTTCAAAGTTAGGCCAATTTTTGAATGATTCATATTACTCAATTGGTATTGACCTGAAAAAATCCTGAACAACAATAACAACTGTATAAGCTCGTTATATGTCCTAATAACGTTAGAAAAACATGCATTTAGATAAAAAAAAAAAGTAGACACACAATTCTGGGCAGATAAACATAAACCTGCTTCACTTAATGGCTTCATTTGCAACAAACAAGAAGCTCAACTTCTCAAGGAAATAGTAAGTTTCCAAATACTCATATGGTTTTCTCAAATTTAAAGCAAATTTGTTCAGTTCCTTTTTTTAGTCCAAACATCTTAGTTTTCATGTTATTACTTGTATATATAATCTCTGACTCAGGTTACCTTGTTTTTCAGAGTTCTCAGGGCTCTTGTCCTCATATTTTGCTCAAAAGACCCTCTGGTTCCGGGAAAAGAGAACTAGCAATGGCTCTTCTTCGAGAAATATATGGTGATGCGTGTTATAATGTGTGTTTCTTCCCATACCATATTTTTCCTTCTAAGTGTGTTCTATATTCCTAAGCTGACCTTATCAGACCCTTTCGCAGTTGTTCCATGATTTAAGACGTCAGGTAGAGATTCCTAAACTTTCTTGCCTATGTATAGGTTTTGGTATATGATAAGTAAAAAACTGGTTTTGATTATTATCTAAAAAAGTTGTTGGAGCTCATAGTATTCGCTACATTGACAGGACCAAAGACCTCTGATAAAGCTTCTGTCCCAATAACGTCCAGTTCTCATCACATGGAGCTCAATGTAAAAACAAGAACCAAATGCTAAATATGCTTTAATGGGATTAATCAAAGAAATTAGCCATATATATGTTATTACCCCCGAAGTCAGCAATATTAATTTCAAGTCAGATTATAAAGGTGAGTTATCTAAATGCATGTTTAACTTCTTAAACAGAGCTGTCCTTTAATGTGAACCTAGCTTACGTTCAATTTAGCTTTGAAACATTGTTCTCTTCATTGGTTGTTTTTGGTCTGTTATATTTCCTTGCTATTTCTGATTGTTGACACTATCTGTAATTCATTATGTTGACAGGATCATCATGGCAAGGGCTGAGAATAAGATTGGAGCAAGATTTTAGTACCTTTTTTATCCTTTTCTTTTTTCCAGCAGAAACAAGTATTTGTATTCAAATGTACTATGTGATAAACCATCTTTGTTAAGTATCAATCAATTGAAGCATGAATAGTATGAGTGTATTGTGTCTAGTTGTTGTACAATTAAACCTGGATTCCATGGGGAACATCATTGGTGACCGACCTCTGTTTCTTTTGTTTTAGCGTAAAACTTGAAATATTTGTACCTTACGTAAGCAATCAAAAATTAAAACATCTGTATCAACTTCGCAATTATACTTGCAATATTTCTCACAAGTAACTAATGGTTATATAGATCACCCCAACAAAAAACAATTTTGATCATGTAGTAATCAACTTCGCAATTATATTACAAACATTTGACAGATCCAAGAAATATCACTTAAGATAATGTCACATCAAAATCGCAAAAGAGAAAAACTAAATGGGACTAAATATTTTGGGAAAGCTCAACTCCTCTTGCAAAGTCATGTCAAATAAATTAGAACAGCTGCATCAACTTTTATTCTCCAAATAAATTAGAATAGTTGCATCCTACGAAGCACTGACACTTCAAAATTCCTAACGTGTCGTATCTGACACTTCCCGACACTCCGACACTTCAATACTCGTTGTAAAGACTCAAAAAAGATTCAAAGATTATGTTGCGTTGCATTTTGAGTTCTAACTATTAGAGTCGTTGGATTACGAGATTACTATTTTATTGAGTTTAATATAAATATTTGAGATATCTTATGCTTTTTTTGCAAAATTAATGGGTATTATAAGTTTAGCTTTGTTTTTTTTTTAAATTATTGAATATTAAATATAATATACACTACATAAATTAAAAATATTATATAATATCAAAACGTGTCCTAACGTGTCAAAATTTAACATTTTTTAGAATTAACGTTTCGGAGTATCGTGTCGTGTCGTATCCCATGTCCCGTGTCGGTGTCGGTGCAACATAGGTTGCATCAACTTCTATTCTCCAGCAAAGCTTCTAATTATTAGCTGAAAATAAGAAAAATAAATTAAGTATATGTGTATAACATTGAAATGCTATATTTTAAAATAAATAAATAAATTCTTACCAAAATAAAACCATGAAAATATGTACAGTAATTGTTATTCATTTTGCTTCTCTCTTGCAACATCCATCTACAAATAAAACAACACATATTAATTAAAAGTTCTATTAAAAAAAACATATACATCAACTACACAAAAACCTTTTGCTTCTGACAACCGGTCTTATTATGACCCTTTCCTCCACAATAACTGCAAGTCTTTTGCTGTTTTGATGCCATTTCTATGTTGGATTTTATACGTGAAGCAACCTTAGGACGCCCTTTAGTTTTGACAAATTGAGTGGGATCGCGCACATCTTTAATAAGTGAAACTTGTGAGACGATACTAGGAATTGGTTCATCTTCAGTTCTCTTTCTCTTTCTTTCCAATTGTTGTTGCAGAAATTCAGCAATCATAGCGTCCAGTCTTCTAATCTCAGAAATAGAATCTTTTGCTTCAGAAACAGCCATATTGATTTTGGAGCGTACCAACCACAAAGACAATGCACTGACTTGATTAGAAGTTGTTTCAGCATGAATGTCTACAAGATTTTCAGCCCTATAGCTTGCATCCATTGTCCATCTAAACAAAATATATTTTTCAGGAAGGGTTATTATTTGTTTCTTCTTCATGATGTATAAAATATGTCTACACAAAATCCTCATAGTCTCAAATTTTGCACATGAACAATAAGCTGTGAAGGTTTCTGTCAAATGGTAGTCGACGATCGCCCACCACTTTTTATAAACTTCGCGAGACCCTACCTGGTACTTGATAAGATTTTCGTTTGATGAGATCTTTTCATGAAAGTAATCAAACAAGGCAGCCTTCCACTCCCTTTTAAAGATCTCAAATAATTTTTTTGTGTAGCGTTCTCCAGCTATTGTTTCAATTGGATGATTAGTCTCCAAATTTGCTTTTGAATTTCTAGTTTTGAAATCCTCATCTACTTCTGCATCCCTCCTAGACTTGATTGCTTTGTCATTTTAGGTAACAAAGTCATTTAACATTGTATTAGAGTTGACGTATCCATCAAAAAATGCATTGATGCTCTCACTTCGGCCACTCGTGGTCATTCCGGCAAAAAAGTATCTTTCAAGTATGCCTTTGCCCAATGGTGACGTGAATTATACATGTTTTCCAACCAACTACCTGCTTTAATATCATATTTAGTCCTCATTGCTTCCCACTTGCTTTCAGATTCATGAAAGCTTCGACTTTTATACCACTCACGAAAGTCAACATCAAAACTATCTTTAAATTGTGTTCGCAGTGCTTGACTATGCTCCATAACATGTTTTTTGATGTGCCACGCACAAAAATGGTGTCGTGCTTCTGGAAATATCTTAGCAATTGTTTTTCCCATAGCTTTGTCTTGATCAGTGATAATAGCAACCAGAGACTTGTTAAACATACATGTTCGAAACTGTTCAAATAACCATTTAAATGTTGCCTCTGTTTCATCTTCTAACAAAGCGGCAGCAAATAAAGTTGATTGCTCATGGTGATTAACCCCCACAAAAGGGGCAAAAAGAAACTTGGACTTATTTATTTTGTAAGTCACATCAAACACAAGGACTTTGCCAAATTGAGCATAAGAAGCTCTCGACCTACCATCCGCCCAAAAGACGCTTCTTAATGTGCCATCCTCTGCCAGATGCATATCAAAATAAAAAGCTCCATCAAGAGAAGACTTCCTTTGAAAGTGTTTGATGATGCCTTGACTTTCTCGCCCTACATTATTCTTTCTTTGGCCTGATATAATAGTGCTAATTTGAACTGGGGTAATATTAACTTCTTTGTCCATAGCGTTCACCACCTTTGAAATTTTTGAAGATGTTAAACCCTCTTGATAAAGCTTACAAACAATAGATTTAGTATACTCTGAGCGTCGTAAATCATTATGAGAAGTAAGCTTCTTCACCTTTGTAGGAGTGTTAATCAATGGATGATTGTGTGTATCATTGAAATTCTCAACGATCCATGATTCATCTACTAACTTTATTTGGAACATGGCTAAGCAATTAGTCCTTGTATCCCTTCGCCTTTTGACATTATGAACATCAACTCTTTTTTCATTTAGTCTCTCGACACCTTGCTTTGAGCACACATATCTCCACCTATATAGTTGTTGTGTTTTCGTATTCTTGCTATAGTAGTGCTTACGTATCCCAAACCCCTTACCTTCTGCATAATCATTATAAAAATCATAAGCTTCTTCTGCTGTCTTAAAGACTCTACCCAAAATAGGGGTTTCACTAAATTCACTATCATCATCTCCCACAATTTCATGTACATTATATTCCCTACAATCACCATCTTTGTCTTCCATGATTTCGCACTGATCATCTCCTCCAAATTCATCAATGTCTTTCTCCAAATCAACAACATCGTCAAAAGATACCAAACTTTCACTTATGTCAATGTCTTCAATAGTTGTTATTTGTGAGTGGTCCATGATAAAGATATCACAACTTAAGCAACACCACCTTGTTTTATATAGATACCAAACTCACTCAAATGTACAACAACGAAGACATATAATGAAAGTGTTTTATAAGGAAATGGTTAACGGAAACAAAAGAAAAAGGCATTTTATTTTAAATTTTAAGATGGATAAAAAAAATGCTCTACGTTAAACAGAATTCAGATAAAAAAAAGCAAGCTAGAAAATTGGAATTTAGGGGAATTAAGTTAGACATGTTTAATTTATAAATTAAGGCAGTACTTCCAGGCTTTAATGGTTGCTTTGCTTGGCTATCATTTTTCACAATGCAAGCACTATTTTAGTTCAGTCAAAACACCCACCAGAATAAAATTTATGAACCTGAGGTGTTACATATAATTAAAATAAGCTCGTTGCATTCTGTTAAAGCGAATACTTCACATTATAACCAAGTTCTTCTCAAGCATTTTAATCTGAAAAATATATACCAAAATCTTGGAAGATGAATACTATTTATATGACACTAAACTCATAAAACATCAAATGCAGTAATTCATCACAACCATACCAACAAAGATTTCTAATATTTTACAAAGTAATTTGACTTTCGTGCAACTTTAACAAAGAGATATAAACACAAAATTTGAAACACCAAATACAGTAAGTCATCACAACCAATATGGTCTTTGAATGCAGAATACAAAGTGTCAACTTGCAAAAAGGAATAAGATTTACATGTATGAAAAATCAGAAGAGGAAAAAAAAAATCAGACATGCCGCTGTTGCAAAAAGGAATAAGATTTACATATATCAAAACAAAAGAAGAGGAAAATGTACCCTATCAATGCGAGATGGGTTAGAGGGACGGAGCTTTGCCTCCACTATCCAATTAGAGAGGTTTTTTACAGTCGCCGCTGTTATGGATTGTCGATGCCTTCGCTGAGTTTTGGATTGCAAAAGAATTAGGGATGATGAATATTAGTTTTCAGAAAACCCCAATTAGATTAGATGTTTTTAATTGTAAAACCCCAATTAGATTATATGTTTTTAATTGTTTAAGCAAAACGGTGACGTTTTGGCAGCCACTGTAGATAATAATAGGTACAGTCACTGTAGATATAGTATTCCCTTTATCTTTTGTATGGTTATGATTCCTAACATTTAATGCTTTCACGTATATATATAGCAAGTATTTGATTGTTGCACGTACAGCAGCTGCAAAAATGTATACCCCGTATATATATATATATATATATATATATATATATATACTCTTACACCCAATCTTGACCATTGATCCACTTGTATCCAATGGCTCACATTACTGAAAAATTAGAGCCCTGAGATATAAGTGGGATCAATGAACAAGATTGAGAATGTAACTTACACTGGTGTAAAATGATCCTGACCATATATATATATAAAATTAAGCAACCGTTTGTACAAGTAGTTAGGTTGGCAGTCACATACTATTCCCAAGTCCCAACGATCACTGGTCAATGCCTTTCGGAATGTCATTACGTTGATAGGTTTTTTCATATGAGTTTGCTATTAGTTTGAGACTGTACGTAGCTTCTCGAGCATTGACAATCTTGGATATTTGTGCTTTAGAATTTGAAGATGTTATGGACCTGGGAAAGGCCCACATCTACAAGCGGCCCAATCAGCATAAGCTCAAAGGTAAGCTCTATAAATAGGAGCTAAAGACCACAGGTACGACTGATCTCTTGAACCTTATTTTATACAATCACAACAGCGCACACACACACACCCCTTCAGGCTACGGCCATTATATAGTGTGTAGTGATTTGTTGTCCCCAAGATACCTAAATCATAGGTATCTAGAGAGAAATCCCTAGATCCAACATCAAAGACCCGACCTACTGTCGGACACATCTTCCTAGGGCAGAACATTGGCGCCGTCTGTGGGGACTTTTTCCCGCTATTATGCGATCAGAGGCCACGATGGCGAGGACAACAAGAAGTGGATTTCGGCAACCCGCAAAATCGAATTCCAGAATCCAGCCAATCTCTCATATCAGGGAGGATCCTATGGATCATCAGCAGATAGATACTGATGCAGTGCATGTTAGTGATGTGCACTCCGATTCGGCATCAACCCCAAACATCAATCCGAACGCCCCATACATGCAAGGCTTGCAACCAATGGAGGAACGGACGGCGGGAGCCGTGCAGGTACCGAATCATGCAGTTGGTGATACTCGGGTAATAGATCTGGCTGTTGCCGCGGTACTTCAGAGAATGGAAGAGATGGAGCGAAGGCACGGGCTTGAAAGGGAGGAAGGTGCCAGACAGATACGAGAGTTGGAGGCTCGGGTAGGTCGAGCCACTAACACGAACCCGGAACGAGCTATAACCCGGGTTATGAATGACCTGAGGATCACCAACACCCAGGCAAACCCTGATAGAACCCGGACTCAGGGGAGAGACACTGGGAATGGTGAAGGCCGACCTCAAGGAGGCATTCCCAACGGGGTTCACAATCAAGAACCCGAGGTTCGCAACAATGGCGAGGGGCAATCGGAAAGGCTGAGAGAAAATCCTCAATCCTCATATGGGAGACGCCCATCTCGGAACCCGAACCCAAACGACGTATCTGGAGTCTATAGGAGGAAATATCACAGGGGGCAGCACAATGATAGCCCCTTCGCGGACGAGATCATGGAGGCACCATTTCCAGAAAACCTCAATTTATCTGAAATTCTGAAATATGATGAGACGCAAGACCCTCAAGTGTATTTGGATGCCTTTGACATGGCAATGTACATTAAGGGAATTGAAGAACCGTTGATAACCCGGCTATTTGCAACCACACTGACGGGAGCAGCTCAGTCATGGTTTTTGTCTTTACCGGCGGGATCCATTAGATCGTTTGAAAAGTTCAGAGGAAGATTCTTGCTGAATTTTGCTACAAGCAAAAAACAGCCGAAGTCTGAGTTCGCACTGGGAAAAATAAAACAACAGCCTGGTGAGACTTTGCAGAGGTATTTAGACCGCTTCAAAATGGTCGCCTTACAGGTTCCCGGGCTATCAGAAAACGTTCATCTACATTTAGTGATTGCCGGACTGAATGGATCCTCCAGGTTGGCTAAATCCGTATACAAAGATCCAGTCCGAACTCTTGTTGAGTCCACTACGCGGTCCAAAAAATATTTGGAACTCGAACAGATGGAAATTGAAAATGCTGACCCAAGGCATCACCTCGGCCAGGCAGAGAAACTTGGAAGTCGAAAGCAAAATGATTTCCGGGGTAAGATGCCAGAAGAGAAAGTTCCAACTAAAGTCAGATTTGACAGATATGCGCCTCTAAATTCATCCAGATCACAAATCTGGAGGGAGGTGGCATCCACCAAAAAGAAGAAGGTGGATAAGCCTCGGCCATTGCTGAATCTAGTCGGGCTTGACCAATCTCGGTACTGTGCATTTCATGATGGCCCCGGTCACACCACTGATGAATGCTAGGATCTCAGAGATGCAATTGAAAGGTATATCAGAGAAAGAAAGTTACGCCAGTATCTGATACGAACTCAAGGGTGGAAGAATAATAAGAAGAGAAGAGGAGCGCGGCCTATGAGCCCGCCTCGAGAAAAAAGATTCAAGGAAGAGGGTCGAGGTAAGAAGCCGAGCAAAGAAGAAGATGAGTTCATAGAACCAGAGTTTGACTGCAATGTGATTAGTGGAGCTTTTGGTGGAGGGGGTGATACCATGAATGCCAGAAGGAAGTACTTAAGAGAAGTGCTCTCAATACGAGAGCGGCCTAAGTTCAAAGAAACCGAATCGGAGGCACCACTACTGTATTTCACTAAGAAGGAGTTGGAGGATGTAATGCCGGGACACGTTGACAGGTTAGTTATGACAGGAACGTTAGTCAATTGTAAAGTCAAAAAAATGTTCGTGGATAACGGCAATTGTGCCGACATATTCCTATGGCAGGCATTCCAGAAAATGAACCTGGATGAAGAAGATTTGAAACCCTGCAACACGGCTTTGATTGCATTCAATGGCCGTAACACTATCCCTAATGGATACATTGACCTGAGGCTTACTTTGGGAACAAAGGAGGCCTACAAGTCGGACTGGATAAGATTCATAGTAGCTGATTTCCCTTCGGAATATAACGTAATTCTGGAAAGGCCAACTATCCATGATTGGGATATGCTGGTTTCAACCAAGCATCAGAAGCTCAAGATAATTGGCAAGCAGAACACGGTCATCACCATTGCTGGGGATCAAAAAGAATCCCGGGACTGCTACTTCAAGTCGGTTAGGGCAGTGAGTAATGACTTTAAAAATCCAGCCGGGGTGAACCCCGTCGGTAAGCAGGATAGTTTAAGACAGAAAGGGCAGAAACCAATTAATATGGTAGAATTGGACATGAGGGACGACACTCAGATCCCGAGGCCGGAACCCGACGGAGAGCGGGAAGAGGTAATCATTGGACAGGAAACTCAAACAGCCAAGATCGAAAAGGGGTTGGCGAATGAGGACAAAGTCCGACTTACGGAGTGCCTAAGGAGGAACACAGACGTTTTTGCTTGGAAATCCTCAGAGATCCTTAGGGTGGACCCTGATTTTTGTTGTCACAAGCTTGCGGTGTACCCAGGATCTAAGCCGATAGCTCAAAAGAAAAGAAAGGTCAGCGCGGAACGTCGGCAGGTGCTAGAAGATCATGTAAAGGAATTGCTGGAAGCAGGGTTCATCAGAGAAATACAATACACAACCTGGTTATCCAATGTGGTGATGGTAAAGAAGCCAAATGGGAAATGGAGGGTGTGTACGGACTACACAGATCTGAATAAAGTATGTCCTAAAGATGCATACCCCATGCCCAATATAGATCAGCTTGTTGACAACTCATCCGGTTTCCATATGCTATCCTTCATGGATGCATATTCGGGGTATAATCAAATCCCACTACACCCTGAAGACCAAGAAAAAACTGCCTTCATCGCAGAAAAGGCAAATTATTATTATAATGTAATGCCTTTTGGACTGAAAAACTCAGGGGCCACCTACCAAAGAATGATAAATCAGGTATTCGCGGATCAGCTTGGCCAAATTGTGGAAGTCTACATAGATGACATGATTGTTAAGTCAATTAACTCACCAGTTCATACTGAGGATCTGGAGCAAACCTTCCAGAAACTAAGGTAGCATAATATTCGTTTGAACCCAGCTAAATGTGCTTTTGGATTCCTTGCAGGAAAATTCCTAGGAATTATGTTGACTCATAGGGGCATAGAAGATAACCCGAACAAATGCAGAGCCGTACTGGAAATGAAGCCACCGGCAAGCAAAAAGGAGATCCAACAGTTGACGGGAAGACTAGCCTCGCTCACCAGATTTCTACCTCAGTCCGCGGAAACAACATTACCTTTTTTCAAGCTTCTGCGAAAAGAGGTGCGATATGGGTGGACCTCGGAGTGTGAAGCTGCATTCCAAGAAATAAAAAAACAGCTGGCATCACTGCCGGTCCTGTCTAGTCCAAGGCATGGGGAACCGTTGATAATTTATCTTTCTGTAGGAGATGTCGCTGTCAGCTTGGTCCTGGTTCAAGAAAACGAGGAGGGGCAACAGCCGATTTACTTCGTGAGTCGGCTCCTCCAGGGAGCAGAGCTCCGCTATCAGAAGCTAGAGAAGGTGGCTTTCGCCTTGATGATCTCGGCTAGAAGGCTCAGAGCATATTTTCAAGGGCACTAGGTTGTGGTCAGGTCAGATTTACCAATCCGACAAATCCTACATAAGCCCGACTTAGCAGGAAGGATGATGGCCTGGGCTGTGGAATTGTCAGAGTTCGACATAGTTTTCGAAAGCCGAAAAGCAATCAAATCTCAAGCACTGGCAGATTTTGTCAGAGAGCTGACTTCAATCCTAAAAGAAAGCTCAACAAACCCAGACACCTGGAAAATCTACGTGGATGGATCTTCAAATTCCAAAGGTAGCGGGGCCGGGGTAATCATTGAGAACCCGGAAGGAGTAGCGGTAGAGTATTCCCTGCAAATGAAGTTTGAAACATCAAATAACCAGGCAGAATATGAAGCATTCATAGCCGGGCTTCAGCAGGCAAAGGAGCTCAGAGCAAGGAGACTACAAATCTTTAGTGATTCGCAATTGGTCACCTCTCAGATCGGAGGAAGCTACCAAGCTAAAGGACCGTTGTTAGCAAAGTACTTGGATTCCGCAAGGCAGTTAATAGCGGAGTTTGAAAAAGTAGAAGTCCATCATATTCCACAAAATGAAAATAGCAGGGCTGATATACTGTCAAAACAGGCGAGCACTAAAGGTTTGGGAAAACACAAGACGGTGGTTGAGCAGGATATCCCAGAACCCACATGTGTCATGCAGATAGCCGAAGGCAAGGATTGGCGTAGTATCATCATTGATTACATAGAAAACGAGACCCTACCCCCCCCCAAAAAGGAGGAAGCTCGGAAGCTGGCTAAGGACGCAGCATTATACACAATGGTAGAAGGGAAACTTTATAGGAAAGGAACTTATTCCCTTTGCTAAAATGTCTAAGCTCGGAAAGAGCGAAATACGTCCTGTCTGAAATCCATGAGGGGATCAATGGTCAGCACATTGGAGGTAAGGCACTAGCCCGGAAAGCTCTCAGAGCAGGATATTTCTGGCCATCTATGAGTCATGATGCGAAGGAGCATGTGCAGAAGTGCGATCAATGCCAGAAGCACGGCAAGAACCTGTTGGCACCACCAGAAGAGTTAAGTCTGATCACGACTCTGTGGCCGTTCTTTAAATGGGGGATGGACTTTTTGGGCCCATTTGCTGCGGCTGAAGAACATTTAAAATGGTTAATAGTGGCTGCCGATTACTTTACTAAATGGATAGAAGTAGAGCCGGTGGCTACAATTACCACGGCATGGATGCAGCGCTTCTTCGAAAGGAACTTGATCTGCAGATTTGGGATTCCAGCCGAGGTGGTTACCGACAACGGGACCCAATTCACAAGTAATACTTTCCAAGAATTAATGGCAAATCTTCACATCCGACATCGTTTTGCGTCTGTGGAACATCCTCAGTCTGACGGCCAAGCCGAGGCGGTAAATCAGGTTATCATAGCCGGGTTACGGGTTACGCAAAAGAATGAAGCAATGTGCCAAGGGGAAATGGGTAGAAGAACTATGGTATGTTCTATGGGGGTACAGAACCACGATGCAAACTTCTATTGGAGAAAGCCCGTTCAGGTTAACCTATGGTACCGAGGCCATGATCCCGGTGGAACTAGGAGAACCATCATGGCGAAGGGTCCAAGCTTTATCACAAAACGAAAAAGAGAATAGTAACAAAATAGCTGTGGAACTGGATTTGATAGATGAAGCTCGGGTCGCTGCTCATTGTAAAAACGTTGCGGCCAAGCAACTCGTGGCAAACAGATTCAACAAAAAGGTAAAGCCGCGGTCATTTGTGGTGGGAGTCTGGTTGTTCGAAAGGCGGATAACGGAGGAAGAAACGCAACTGAAGGAAAATTGGCTCCAAGATGGGAAGGACCATACAAAGTTAAAGCCAAATTATCACAAGGAGCTTATGTGTTGGAAACCCCACAGGGGAAGCAGGTCAAAAGGACTTGGAATGCGGACAAGTTGAAGAAATATTTTAGTTGAGAAGTTCTTGCTCATACATTGTAGTTTAAATTTCAAGTTCAATAAATGGAATAAATCAAGTATGTTTTTCAGATGTTCATTTCAAGAAGAAATCTGAGGTAGTCGAACCCTCTTGTCTACGGGCAAGATGGAGTTCCAGCCTGGCCCATAATGTCGAGGTATTTGAACCCTCTTGCCTACAGGCAAGACGGAGTTCTAGCCCGACAAACAACGTTGAGGTAGTTGAACCTTCTTGCCTACGGGCAAGGAAGAGTTCTAGCCCGACAAACAACATCGCGGTATTTGAACCCTCTTGCCTACGGGCAAGACGGAGTTCTAGCCCAGCAAACAACGTCAAGGTAGTTGAACCATCTTGCCTACGGGCAAGGCGGAGTTCTAGCCTGACAAACAACGTTGCGGTTTTTGAACCCTCTTGCCTACAGGCAAGACGGAGTTCTAGCCCGGCAAATAACGTCGAGGTATTTGAACCCTCTTGCCTATGGGCAGGACGGAGTTCTAGCCCGACCACTAAGGTCAAGGTATTTGAACCATCTTGCTAACGAGCACGATTGGAGTTCTAGCTCGTCTAGCCTAAGGGAAAACTACCGAATATATATATCAACCTTGCCAAAATGAGCAAGGGAGGCATGCTAGCCTAACAAGTTAAGGCGGGAAATTAGGGGGACGCCCTTAATTCCCTAACGTCCTTACAAAAAGAATCTAGTTAAACAATAAATACCAGAGTACATCAACAAGGGCATGAAACCAAATTCAAATTATCAATCAAAGAAGTCTAAAAACAAGAAAAGTTCATGAAATGATCAAAAAGAAAACAAAACACAACAAATTACCAGGTAAACCGGTATTTTGGCTCTTCACTCTGGGTTATCATTATGCATCATTTCCCGCATCTCGGCCTCGAACTCGGCTCCAGCTGCATCCATCGCTGAAGTAATCCCAGCAGCTCTACCCCTGAAGTCATCCCAACTTGCGAGGTGCTACTTTCAGGTATGTTTTGGTTAGTTGAAGGAGGGGGATGTGAACCCCACCACGAATGTAGCTGAAGCAGTCCAGCTGGTCGAGCTTCAAGGGAAATTCGGGGTTAAATTACCTTACCTGGTTAACACCATTTTTAAAGGCACTTATGGCGGCCTTTTCAAGAGCAGAACAGTTGAAATCATAAGCAGTTTGCAATTTTTGAAGATCCGACTTCAACTTGTCGTTCTCCGCAGTCAGACCAGCAACCTTTAAATCCTTCTTCTTCAGAGCATCTGATTGTTCTTTGAGGCGATTTACAATGCTATCTTTATCAGCAGTCACATTGAGGGTTTCAGAGATAAACTTTAGGTCTGCCTGTGAATTCTCCAAAGAAGTCTTCAATTCAGCAGCGCTGTGGGTTAAATTCTCATTGTCAAGAATAGCTTGACCATGCTTCACCCGAGTTGATCAAGCTCGACAATAGTTTCGCCATGCTTTTCCAGCAGCAAGGAATATGGTTTCACCAACGAAGCAGTCTTGAAGGTATAAAGTTTTGCCTTCTGGAGCTCTTCCATCTCGGCTCTCGAAATAATTCCAGAGCCAAAGAACACGGCAGGATGACGTACGACACCCCGGAGCTCGGCAGTTACCCCTGACTCCCATAACGCTCCCCTCCTAAGACCAGCTGGGAGAGCAGCAGGAGCAGGGGTACCCCGAGGAAGAGTGATAACAGCATGTGTCCCGCCCCCACTAGCCGAAATCGGAGAAGCTGGATTTGCATCATTCTCCGTGTTCTCGCCGTCATCAGTAAGATCCAGAATGGAGACCCCATAATTTAAGGCCAGGGTGGAAGTGGTTGCAACCGGGCTGACCGTCCTTGGTCTCTTCGAAGGCGGTGCTAGTGGAGCAGATGTTTGGCCGGTCAGAGACAAAATATAATTCGGACCCGGTCCTTCCTCCTCTTCATCAAAATTCATGTCGGTATCTGAGAGTAAAAACAAGGTTATAACAGTAACAGGAAAACAACCAAAATAGCAAATTTTTAATAGCATAAGGCATACTGGTGGGTTCGGGGTTGGAATGAGATTTGGCCACTAAAGAGGCTGCGCTCAGGTGACCCTTGGAACCCACATGGGCCAATAAAACCTTAGCATTGGCTTTATCTTCTTGTGAGAGACTCAGCTTGAAGTCGGCAGGCCTGCAACAATGATAATCCTGAGACCAATAGAGGGGAAAGATGGGTTCCCCATCTTCACCAATGAACCATGGCTTCTCCCCTACCTCGGCCACCACCTTAAAGAAATAGGCTTTGAAGCCCTTGAAGGAGTCACTGTATACGGAAAACAGTTTTCGAGGGGGTTTGCTAGACCGGCCTCGAATGCTACTCCATCCCTTAAGTTCAGGAGGTTCTGAGCCGGTACGTGAGGTATAAACGGTAAAGAAATATAAGAACAAGGGGACGGTGCATGGGAGGGACAAAGAGCTGCACAACTGTTCGAAAGCAACAATGTAAGCCCAACCATTGGGATGAATCTGGGTTGGCGCGAGAAGCATGTGATTTAAAAGTTGTATCTTGAA